GTCCACAAAGGAAGGCTCCACAAAAGCTGAGAGGCTCTTGTCACACAGACCATGCTATCTGAGCATAATGCCATTAAGTCAAAAGTTTATTTAAAAAGAAAATATTTTTAAAATCCACACATTTGAAAATATAAAAACAGAATGAATGCACAAAAGTTTCAAAACAAACATTTAACAATCTTAACTTCTGGAATGCCTTTGTAAAAATAGGATCTTAAAACTCAAAAACCAAAATGAAAATACCATTTTACTACATTAAAGAAAGACAAACTTCTGTATGATGAGAGCCATATACACATAGTTGAAAGAAAATGACGAGCTAGGAAAGAAAATACAGAACTAACATTACAAGATAGTGTTAACATGACAAAGACTGCTTAAGATCAATAAAGAAAAAATAAACATATTAGAAAAGCTTATTTAAAATACAGTTAATTTACAAAAAAACTTAAAAATGGCCATATATGCAAAGAGGTTTAATATTACCAGTAATCAAACTAATATAAAGCAAGTTATCATCTGTTGCCTATCATATAGGCAAAAATGAACAAAAAATGGCACCATGCCTTACACTATTATTAACCTGAACTGAATGTCAACTATTATGTGGCTGTTTAAATGTAGTATTGTATACTCATGGGTGGACTATATACTAATGTATATTTCTATTTAGTCACATGGAAAGATGTATTAAACAAAGTTGAATAAAAAGGCAAGATGCATATAGGATCATTCCACTTATATTAAAACTATGCATTGAATGCGCACACAATTGTCGAAACAGAGAGCTATAAGGATATTTACTAAAACTATGATGATGGTTATCAGTAAGAGGAGTTGAAAAAATTTTCTTATTTGACAGTGTAGTTTCAATGTTTCTCTAACTAGAATGTATTATTACCTTTGAAAACAAATAAATTAAAAATCATTTAAAAAGGGCTCAAAATTAAACCAACAGATGAACAATAACATTGTTTTCTATCATTTTTTTTTTCTTAATGCTCTTTAAAGAAACTCTACAGTTTGGTTTTCATCCTGACTGACAATCAGTATCTCCCATGGATAATAATCATAATTATAGTCCGCATTTATTCAGTGTTGGGTACAATATGTATTAAGCTCTTGACATAAATTATCTCACTCCTTACGACACTCCTATATATGTATCACCAATATCCCCATTTTACACGTTTGGAAACAGACACCAAGAGCTTACTAATAAAACCTGGCAAATAAAATAGTCAAGGTGTAATAAGGACTTGAACCCAGATATTCTGCATTAAGAAGTCACTCAACTAATCTACTTATAAGGAGACAGGGTGCTGAATTCACACAAGTTGTATAATTGCAAAGAATCACTAACATGGAACAAAAGCACAGGAATTTAGAAAGAGGGGAGAGCAAAATAAGCACAATAATATCCTAGAACTACAAGAAACTCAAGATTCCTCTTTCTTTTAACTGTCATATTTACTTACTTTAAATATCGCACATATAAATTAACTAAGATGAAACAGCCATATCAAAACAACAGATAATTCAACTTTCCATGCAGTCCTCTAAGAAGGATCTAATTTACAAACTCATGCTGTCTAGTTCTTCTGTTTCAAGCAATAATAATCACAAGCCCTTACTTATGTATAGCAATTCTCCCATCCAAGTACAAACCAGGCCCGACCCTGCTTAGCTTCCGAGATCAGATGAGATCGGGCACGTTCAGGGTGGTATGGCCGTAGACATGTATAGCAATTCTCATATTCTCCATTTCACTGACCCCTGACAAAAACTATGTAACGTTTTGAAAGCACTGGTTAAAGCCCTAATTTGTCCTCTTCTATTCGTCTCTTCTCTGATCATCTGAAGTTCTGTAATTTCTAGAAATAAGCCCAATTTACACCAACTTCAGTGCAAAATTTGACTTTCATTTCAAACAGATCTTGAACTTAAAATTCTTCTCTCCAAACGTACCACTCAGAAATTCACCTTGACAGATAATCTGCTTTTCTTTAACTGTTTTGGCAATTAAAAACATGTCAATGTATTATTCGTGGAAATTTCTTTCAAGTATCTCTCTTCCTGTATCCTTTTGACAGTATGTCTGGCTGTCTTCATTCCTTTGTACACCTCTGGTTCTCACACAGACTCTATCTCTCAGTTACTATTTCATTTTCCTGTCTTGGCCTCACATAGAGATAGGTAGAATACAAATCACATCATTCTTTTTCCCCGGTCACTACACTAGGGTAGGCTTCCACAGCGACCCTGAAAGATGATCACATGTGTTCCTGGAGTCCTCTCCCTATATGTAACTCAGTCAGGCCACTGAACTAGCACTCTTCTCTTGACTTCACATAACTATTTGCCATCTATTGTACCTTTTTAGATCATCTCTAACTACTTGCTTAATTCTCCCATCAGGATTTTCTTTTTAGATAGGCCTTTTATTTTACAATAGTTTTAGATTTACAAAAGAGTTACAAAGAGAGTATCCTGTATAGTCCACACCCAGGTCCCCCTACTATTGATATCTTGCATTACTTTGGTAAATTTGTCACAAATAATAAACCCAGTATGAATATATTATGATTAACAAACTCTGTACTCAGATTTCATCAGTTTTTTCCCTATCCTTTTTCTGTTCCAAGATCTTATTGAGGACACCACATTACATGTAATCATCATGTTTCTTTAGGCAACTCCTGGATATGTGAGTTTCTCTGACTTCCACTGTTTCCTTCATCACCTTGACAATTTTGAGGAGTACTGGTTAGGTACTTTGTAAAATGTGCCTAAAGAGGGATTTGTTTGATGTTTTTTCTCATGATTAGACTCAGGTTATGGGGTTTTGTTATGAGGAAGGCTACAGAGGTAAAGTGTCTTTCTCCACACATTACATCATGGTTGCACACTATCAACACTACTGATCACTGGTTATGCTGACTTTGACCACCTGGCTGAAGTCATGCCTGTCAGGTTTCTTCACTGTAAAGTTACTTTTTCCCCACACTTCCTTTCCTTATTATACTCTTTAGAAACAAGTCACTAAACGTAGCTCATATGTTAGAGATGAGTTTTATGCCCTACCTCCTTTGAGAGAGGTAATCTACATAAATTTTTTGGAATTTTTCTGTAGAGGAAATTTGTCACTGCTCCTTTAAATATTTATTGATTCAAGTATTTATATTACTATGGATTCATGGGTATTCATACTTTGGGTTATAATCTAATACTATGTAACTTAATTTGTTGCTCAAATTGTTCCAGCTTTTGTCACTGGGAACTTTTTCCACTGGCTCCTTCATCCTCTGACACGGCCCCATCGTTTTGCTTTTTGAGCACTTCCTTCTTTCTGGCATTACAAGCAGCTCTAGGGCTCACCCTTGTATTTTTTCTCCTCTCCCTCGAACTGCATTTTTCCAAGGAGCTCTGGTTCCTTCCACTGAAGAATGGTACTAGAAACCAAGATCTAAGCACAGAGTACCATAAGAGATGATTTTTAATGCTGCTGGTATTTGTGATTTCATAACAGTGAAATAAACGAACAGTGATCTTTCCTTTTTCATTTTAAAAAACATGAATGTTCCCTTAGAACTAAAAATCAATATGCTCCAAGTAACTTGTTTTCTTTCTCCTCAAGCACACTGCTTTTCTGTGACTGGTATCCATAGTGGCCCATGAGAGAAAACCAAGAGACTCCTTGGGTTCCTCCCTGTCCTTGATTCAAATATAATCAGGCTCCAGTCACACAGACTCTGCCTCTCCTAGCCCAGGTCTCCATGGCCACTGCTTCCTTCTGTCTCACAGCCTCATCATTCTCATATGGACAAGAAAGGTGCAGCAGCTTCCTGACTCACTGCTTCCATCTTTAAACTTCTTTAATAAAATTCTAATCTCACAAATATGGAATTCTAACTTGCGAATCTCATCATATAATTGTCCTGCTTGAAATGATGAGTTAGCGATGCTCAAAGGCTAAGTCCAGACTCTTTGAAGAATGTACTAGAGAGGTAACGACCTGGTCCCTGTATACACGTCCCTATCTCCCTCATAAGAATGCTATTCTATCTACTCACAACCAACTTAGAGTTTCCTAACCTTTGCCTGATGGTCCATGTTTCTATGCCTTTGCAAATGTTGATTTATCCTCTTGACTGGCTTCCTGGGTCCCATGCAACAAACCCCACATACCTACACTTTGTGAACCACTCATTCTTTAAGACTTAGGTTAAATAACATCTCCATGTGAAAACACCTCACACATCAAGCACCATTCTCCTGCAAACACCCAGCTGATACTTCCACTTTCATTTCTAGCACATTAGGTTATAATTTTGCTTACTTGTCTGAGAGTCTTCCTTTTAGTGAAATGCTTCCTGGGGGTTAAAATTTTGTTTAATTTCCGAATCTCCGGCACTTAGCTACAAAGGACTCAATGTTCAATTATCTTTTGCTGAATTAATTATGAAAAAGATGAAGTATAGGGCTTCTAGTCTCCCACAACGTAAACTCCAGATTGGGTTAATTTAATACAATCTAATATAACAGTCTAATGCACAAATTAATTTCATTATTGGAAAAATTTCTAGTTATTCTAGATTTTTCTGATACATGAGCAGTGAGTAACTTCTGTATCTCCGTTTGTGAAAAACAATCTGTAGTAACTTATACAGAGACTACAAACATTAATTTATAAGCAATTTATAGGCAGCTGTAGAATTCAATATAAATTAGAAAAAATATCACCTTGCTATGATTAACTCTACACAGACAAAATGTGTACGTTAACAGGCCATATACAATATTAGCTTTAAGACATCTATCAACAAATCTAAATGTTTACTAACACAATTAATGTCATCAAGGATTCTGTTCTTTTCCTCTTCCAGACATAAAATTTTAGAAATAGTAGTGTTTCAGAATCAGTATTTAATTTTAAGATAAACTACAAACTAATTTAGTTCCGCATATTTGCAGGTATAGCTTATAAGTATAATACTTACTCTAATACTTCATAGTTAGACTTCTTTTCTAGGGCATTGCCCCGCATCTCCCAGTATGATCGCCTAAAATCAGGGAAGAGGGAAGATATACATTTACATGTATATATAAGGAAAGGTTATGTTGTTAAATGATAAAAACTGGGGGAGAAGCAGCTGAATAATAAATAAAATCAATGGCAACAACTGCAATTATCTTTGCACCAAACCAACAGTTCATAATTTACTCAAATTTTATTCAGTATTTCACTGATAATCATTATGAAGAAAAGGAAAATACCTGCAAAATATTCAAAAATAATTTAAAAATTGATAAATAAAGGCCTCAATGTATAGTTACCATCTTACCGTATTTCTAGACAACCCAACTTCAAAGCAATTTCCTGGTCCACTTGATCAGCTATCTCTAACATATAATCGCTCTTCACCTACAACAAAAGGAATAGGATAAACAACACTGTTTTAAAAGAAAAATATTAGATATATGCATTCAATAAATGTTTCCTGAGTACCTTTCATATAGTTTACATTGTGTCAGTAATTATGCCTGATGTTAAAGATATAAACATGAGTTATACCAAAAAATATTAAAGAAATAAAACGGTCTCCTATTAAGAAAAGCTCATATAATCTATGACCACTTAAATGGGACATTAAGAAACAGTGAATAGAGTCTGAATCATAATAACCTTCAGCTGCTCCACACCCTTCCCATGCTGTCAAAAGTGAAAACCAGAAGGGAAATTTCCATTTCTACAAAAATTTGCAGATGTATTTTCTGACCTCAAACTACAGTTCCAGCAGCATATTTTGGACTCCAATGAAAAGGCAAAGGATTTACATACTTCAAAATCCATTTAAATGTGCAGCTGAGGTGTTTCCATCTAACCATCAATTTTAAGTGATTAATCTGCAAAGTAATACAAGCTTAAAGTCTAAAGCAAAGACAAGAATCTAATGGAATTCTTGAAATGCCTTCTAAACAATGAATAAACTCAATTTTAAAAGCTGATAAGAGTGATATCAATACTTGCAAGTAATTGTCACTGTGAACACATTTTCAAAGATGAAATGTGTACCATTTCCTTGTAGATTAGCCTGAAGAGATTAAAATCTGCAATTTATTTTGATAAGCGCACCCATTTTGAACCTCACATGAAATGTTACCCCCCTTCCTCCAAGAAGCATCCCATTCTCTTCAGCAGCACACCTGTGTTACTAGAAAACTACACTCTATTATGAACTTTATCAACACAAAAATTTGTGCAAATTTGTCTTCTCTCTTGTTCTGTACTTTCATAATACCCTCCATTTTGCCTCGTTCCTCAAAGTCTAAAATATTTACTCTGACCCTTTACACAAAAAGTATCTTGACTTCTGCCCTAAAAAAATGTTCAAACATCCCTTTCTTCAACAACTGCCTACTAGCCTGCTAGCTCATTTGTTCAAAGAGTTCCATCCCCAGTTAACTCACCTCTCACTCCATACCAATCTTTGTCTACTTCATACTGGATGGTTCCTCATTATGACCGTCTCTTGCAAAGACAACCAGCTCCCCTGTCTCCTATTATCCCTCTGTTTGAATTGCTTGGTAAACCCAAGCCATGTTGAACCTACCCACTCATCCTCTTCAGGCTTAGATGAGCAGCTGGAGAAATCATAGTACAAACTCCACTTTCAACTCATGAAGACAAATCTCAAATGGCCAGTTAAAACTATCTGGAAATTGAACAATGCTTGCCTAGGAAGCTCTACAATTCACTGATTTCATACGTCCTCCAGTAAGCCTGCCATATCTCTGTTACAGAGAAGATAAAAGACATCAGATGGGCATACTCTCTGTAACCTACCAGGAATTCATAACTTAATATGCATTTAAAAAGTATGAACATTTACTCATTATTTTCTCTTAAAGTAGGAGAAACATTCCCTCAGCTAGCAGTAGACAACTATGTGCTATTACTGATTTAAGGAATATTCTGTCTCAAAACCTTCCTTTATTTTCTGCATTAGCATCTAAGTCTGTGTGCTCAATAAATATTTATTGAATGAATGAGTAAACAAATGAGTGAACAGTCATCAAACTGGAGGGTGGGTACATAAATGTTATTTTCCATATGTATTTTCCATCCTTTACAAGGAACAACAGTTTCTACTACTTCCACATAGCGGGCACTCAAGACTGATCAACTGCAACTGAATTAATCCAGTCAGTTAAGTAAAAAGCTTTAGGTCTAGAACGATTTGTTTAACTTCAATTGGCTCTTGTTTCTACAAAACAAAAAATAAGTCTCAATCTAAAGCCTGTTTTGCATCATAACTAGGTTTATTATCGAGCACAAAAATAAAGGCGCAAGAATTAAACCAAGACAGGTATTTAGATAGGCAGAAAAATACCACAGCTACTCTGATGGAAACATTCAGTGGCTTTTAGTTGTCCGATGCAGATTTCAGAGGAACTACTGCAGACCACCAATTACATGTTGAGGAAAATGCACCATTATGAAATTCAATTAATCTTGAAGATTAATTGCCACAATTTTTAAACACTATTCACAGGTAGGAAAAATAATCAAATGCTATATTTCATCATCAAAATGAAATTTGTATTGTAAAAATGAAAAAAGGGGAAATTATAATTTAATAATCTTCATTTTAAAAATCTCATTTATGAGAATGATTTCAAAGTTCTGAGACTTGTTTTCCTGTAGCTTTAATCTCGATTATCAGAACTGTATGATCACAGACTGAATCTATTTGTGGCCCGACGTGATCAAAGTATTCTGCAAAGAGTATAGATCTGAAATAGAATAAGGCATCACCACAGACCCGCATCCTCCCCTCAAGCCCCAAAGCAGCTTCCCCTCTGCCGCCGGAGAGAAAGCAAACTCTGTTCAGTGTCTCAATGCTCCCTGTTATCTAGGCTCTAGAGAGTGTTCTCTCAAGCCACTGAGCGAGGTCACATCCTGAGGCTGGGCTTCAAGACTCAGAATTATGTACACACTTGGTTCATTTCCCTTATAAAACACTTCTTGACTACCTCTCTTTCACTAACTCCCAGCAGAACTGCTATCATTTGTGAAACCAAATTTATCAAGCATTTAAGTTTCTATACAGTATATATACCTAGCACCATGTCAAGCAGATTTACATGTAATAACTCATTTAATCATCAGACCATCACTGTGAGATGGGTACTATTATCATCCCCATTTTACAGCCTCAGAAAAAGCCTGAAAGAATTATCAAAATGATAGCAGTAGATAATAATCCTACTTAAGGAGTATCCACCAGGGACCAGTTACTACGCTAAGCATTTTACATATATTTCTGATCTTTACAATAATTCTTCAAGGTAGAGTTTATTAGTCCTATTATATATAAAGATCAGAAAACTTAACTTTGTGTTAAGCAAGTATTAAAGTCAGGATTCAAAATCCAGATCTATCAACCCCTAAAACTCCAGCTTTAGTTTGTACCTACAACTTGTGAACCCTTCCACAGTGCAGTTATTCTCTATTAGAATGAAGATTAACAAGCAGGAACCACCTCTCATTTACCCTTGCATCCCGAGTATCAACCACAACAGATTCACATGCATCGCGCATCTCCTAAGATGCTGGAACACTGTCACTGTGTTGTATTCTCTTTTTCTATTGTGGATTATATCCAGGTCCAGGAAAATTTGCAAGATTCTTCCAAAAGAAGACTTCTGAAAGTTGATTTTTAAAAATCAATTTGTTGGCTGGGCGCAGTGGCTCACGCCTGCAATGCCAGCACTTTGGGAGGCCGAGACGGGCAAATCACCTGAGGTCAGGAGTTTGAGACCAGCCTGGCCAACATGGTGAAGCCCCGCCTCTACTAAAAATACAAAAAATCAGCTGGGCATGGTGACAGATGCCTATGATCCCAGCTACTCGGGAGGCTACGGCAGGAGAATCACTTGAACCCAGGAGGCAGAGGTTGCAGTGAGCTGAGATCGTGCCACTGCACTCCAGCCTGAGGGCCAAGAGCAAGACTTTGTCTCAAAAAAAAAAACAAACAAAAAAAAAACTAGGATGGGCCAGGCGCAGTGGCTCACGCCTGTAATCCTAGTATTTTGGGAGGATGAGGTGGGCGGATCATGAGGTCAGGAGATCGAGACCACCCTGGCTAACACAGTGAAATCACGTCTCTACTTTAAAAAAAAAAAAAAAAAAAATATATATATATATATATATATATATATATATATATATATTAGCTGGGCCTGGTGACAGGCGCCTCCCAGCTACTCAGGAGGCTGAGGCTGGAGAATGGTGTGAACCCGGGAGGCGGAGCTTGCAGTGAGCCTAGATCGCATCAAAAAAGAAAAAGAAGAAAAAAAAAAACTAGGATGGATTTGGACTTCTTTCTTTGTGCAAGTATTGTATGTGTATTAAGGAGTTCCTTCATCTCACTCTGTAATAGAATGAAGCACAGGTTTTAACATAAAAACTGTTCACATTTTCTAATAGAAAATATTGATGCTAAATTATTCCATAATGTATTGCATATGTCAACTCAATGCTTTGGCTACCACATGAGATTTTGTCTTATTTTGGTCTCTTTTGAATATTCTAACAGCTACACAAATTTATCAATTGGACTCAGAATTCCTTGGTAGCACCGAAAGAGGACAGGGCAGAGGGCAGACAAAGGTAAAACTGACTAGGCTTACTTACTAGCTGGGTGAACAAAAGCAAGTAATTTTACTCTCAGAGCCTAGTTGACTTGAGTTTTTGTCAGATTCGGTGAAGTATTTTATATACAGATGGAACTCAATGGCAGCTCCAAATTAATCCTAATTTAATTTTTCTTCTTTCATACCTAAGCTATAAAAAGATACAAATGAACAATTATGCTATCTTAATGAGTTATATACGTTTAAACAATTCAATGTCATTTAACATAGTATTTAACAGTTATGCATTCATTAATTTATCAAATGTTTACAAAATGACTATCATGTGCCAGGATATTGTAGTGAATAAAACATACATGGAACTTACACAAAGGTAATGGTAAATTTTAATTTAAAAATAATTACTTTGAATGTTCTATTGAGGATAGACCATAAAGTTATATGATAACAAGTGTTTCCATTATCTCTCTTTGTTGTCCATTTATAATGGTTAAGTAACCCCAAATTTTATCAGAAGTAAATGAAGGGGCCAGGCATGATGGCTCACACCTACAATCCCAGTACTTTGGGAGGCCAAGGCAGGTGGATCACCTGAGTTTAGGAGTTCGAGACCAGGCTGGTTAACATGGTGAAACCATCTCTCTACTACAAATACAAAAATTAGGCAGGCATGGTGGTGTGCACCTTTAGACCTAGCTACACAGGAGGCTGAGGAAGGAGAATCGTTTGAACCCAGGAGGCAGAGGTTGCAGTGAGCCGAGATCG